TCTTCCTTTCCTACCTTTACTGCTGTTGTTGTTGTTCCTGCCTGCATTTTTATGCGCTCGACTAAATACTGCATGATTGAATGCGTATATGGGTCCACTATTGTTTCACATCACCCCTTCCGCACTCTCTCTCCCCCCCCCATTCCAGACTGCTCGACTTTCGAGTGCTCATTTCATTTATGTGTGGGTCGTCGCTCTTAATGAGTGTAACCATTAAATATGTGTTGTTTTCGTTGGTGCAGCCAATTAATTTGCAACCAACCAAATAACTAACAAGTCAAATGGACAGACATGTGCAGAGCTGTCACAGTTTTGTTTGCTGCAGCCAGGTGTGGCATGTGACAATACTTAGCTTGTGTTATGTGACACGTACTCCCATTCATACATATAAATACACACACATATCCGCTCTTAACCATTTTTATAATATATTTTTTTAGGTATTTATGGCTTTCCCATATTTTTTAGCTGGGTTAGGGGTCCAATAGCTTGTACCTAATTACACTCATTTGGACGTGATCGAAACCTGCTTATGCGTTTATGCAACTTATGTTTTGTTAATTTATAATAACAACGTGTAAATATGTTTGAATACACACTTATATTGAATTATGTAGGATTTTGAAAACAGCACTGGAATATGCCAACAAGCCGAGAAGTAGTCTCTGAACACTCGTTCGTAACTAAACATGATTCAAGCTTTACTCAGACCTAAACCTCAATTTATGAAACATCTCAGTATATTATTCTCTTCTCTTATCGAGAGGGCAGGTGCAATAACTATGGACTCCTCATTTTAGCTTTGGTATTTCAAAATAATATTATTGCTTCCACTGAAGTCAAGTTCGAGTACCAAAAAGGCTCATGTCTTCCATTCATTTGAGAGTATCCTTATAATATAATTTATGACTCCTACAGGTTACGAGGTTGCTCGCTTATTTGTACTCTCACTGGTTCTAAAAGAAAACGTAAAACGTAGGCGGGGCTTATCCATTGGTTTTTATCTCTCAGGCGACGTTCTCAGCGTTATAGAGAGTACCCACTTAAGTAGATCCCACTTTAGACGTTATTGAAAGCTTATATGAGGCAATCTTGGAATAAATAAAGTCAAATTGGTTTTCTTTATAATTTTATCTACGCAAACCATTCCTACATGGGGATCCGTAGTCTTTGAAGACACTGTACAGATAACCCTCTTCTTAGTGGAATACCCTATGATATAATCGTTGCTAAAACTCAGCAAATGAAAATGGAGATCTGGAGCTTCTCAACGTAATCTGTGCTGGTCTTATAAAATGCAAAGTGGGTTTTGACGAAGTAGACACTCATTTCTGTTCTTCTTTTCGCTTATTTTAAATGTGTTGATTGGTATTTTGATGTCTCTTCACAAATCCGTGTTTCCTGTATCTACTACCTTACACTACGAACTATTAAGAATAGATATATACCAACTTCGGAGATCCTAGCATAAGACACTTGACATCTTGTTTAAATAAAGTAGGCAACCAACATTTTGAGAGAAGAAAAAAAAACAATCAGATCGTAGAATGATGAATAACTGTCGAGTAATCTCAAAAAGGGACAATAAAACTACTTCGGTCTACAGAGGAAAGTATAAAAAAGGGGGAAGAAAAAACTTCATCCTTCCATAAGCAGTGTCATAAAAGTGATGGGAAAGCGCGGCTACTGTAGGTGCCTTGAATGATCGCAGGTCATACGTAGAGGCGACCAATTTCTTCAACTATGCCGCTATAGATGGCAGCCGATCCTTAGTTAGTATGTCCTCTGAACAGGAGACAAACTAGTGACGTCCATTACTGGTTGTCTAATGGATCTTATTGCAACGATATTCTACATTCGAAAAGCGCATATTTATACCGGCAATCAATACCATTTCAGAAGCTCTACGTGGAGAGTCATCTGAAGTTGTGTAGGTACTAAATATACTGTTCCACATTAAATACACATAACTTGGGAAATGAAAATGAGTTGATGAAGCCTTCTCAGCATCCTCAAATTTAAAACAGAGGAGCACGAGCAAGTCAGGTATGGGTTCCTGAAAGACCGAGCTCTTGCTGACATTAAACAGCTGGATGAAAGGACATCTACACCTATTTTCAAAATAACTAGATCATTTGGCAGCACTGGTCAAAACAGCTGAGGCACGTTTTGTGTTTGCGTCTTCCATTTTATGGTCAGTATAATCGAACCACTGAAGCGGCTATCCGGGCTGTTGTGACTAAATTTCGCACCAAACTTTCATTGTTGGACATTAAACCACCAACACGCTTACGTAGATTGCGAACTGAAGAAAATTTCGCGGCTGTATGGGAGCAATTGGGCCTCTGTTACTCAACAACGTGAAAAATTTTGCGGGAGGATTCAAAGGTGAAGCCTATCAAAATACAGTCGGCGCAAAAATTGAAACCGAGCGACCTACCGAAACGCAGAGTTTTTGGTGAACAGGCTCTTGCATAGTCGGCTGATCATCCACTCTTTTATCGAATAATTGTATTCAGCGACGAAGCTCAGTGGGTGCATAAAAAAGCAGAATTGTAGATTTTGGTGTCAAAATCAGCCACAAGCATTGCAAGAGCTACCAATGCATACAGAAAAAGTTACAGTTTGGTGCGGTTTATGGGCTGGTGGCTCATTGGATTGTACTTCTTCAAAGATGATGCGAAACGTAACGTAACTATGGTGAGGAGAATGGTGAGCGCTGAGATGATATCAAACTTTTTTTAGCCCACAATGAAAGAGCTTGACTTGCATGACATGTGGTTTCAACAAGACGGTGCCACATGCCACACAGCACGAGTAACTATGGACTTGAGATGCTAGTTCGGTGAGCATTTTATTTCACGTTCGGATCCGGTAAATTGGCCACCTAGATCGTGCGATTTAACGACTTTGGACTATTTTTTGTGTTGCTTTGTTAAATCCAAAGGCTAAACAGACAATCCCGCTTCGATTGAGGCATTGGAGGACAACATTGAAGCATTCATTCGTGAGATACCGGCCGAAATGTTGGAAAGTGTAAGAACTATTTGAGCCGCATGAAATAGTCTTCAAAAATTGAATTGTATGGACCGTACTATCGATTCAAATAATGATTTCATGCATTGATTTGAATTTTATGTGTTTTTTGAAAAACATTCCTATAGCTCTTAAAAAATCACTCATTATTAAATGGCGAATATGCCAAACACGAGACAGATGATAAAGAGATATCGCTACGAACAGCATGTTCTCGAGCGCGAGGATAAGTGTCTTGTTTTCACAACACATCGAGAAGAATTTAAGAAATCATCGGGACGTAGTTTATTGGTAATCCTGGTGATATCTATTTATAACTGGTGCTTTGTAAACGCTTAAGGAATTTTTGACGTTTAAAATGCTCATGCAAATTTTCAAACATCTTCCTTGGGATTATCTTATCTCAGGGTTGCTTTGGCTATATGGATGGTACAAGCACTATTATGTAACATTTTACAAGTTGCTCCTTGAAAATTTTCCACTTACAGCAAAAATTCCTTATAATAAAGAGCTAACTTTAATTTGCCACATTCACTGCCTCAAAGCCGCACTGTGACAGTTTTACACAAAGCCTCACGGACATTAACTTTCACATCAAAGTATAACCACACAGAAAAGAAAAAATTATGGCAAAAGCAGAAAAGAGAGCAATTTGCAATAACTTAAGTATCCGTATGTACATCTAAGGTCGCACAGGTAAATTAAAATAAATTCGAAAAGGGACAAAGAGAGGGCGAGTTCAACTCCTGCCACCGAAGCTGCGAAACAGTAAACTTTACTTTAAGTGGTTGCGTAACAAAAACAAAGACAATAATTGAATGCCTGCAGTAAAATGGCAAAAGACAGCAACAGAAGCGGAGAAAAAAAACAGAGAGGCCAATAAACTACATAAAAATCACAATTTCAAATTAAACAGATATCTTTACTTGCACACATACATACATAAACATACATATATATACATACAAGTAGAGCTGTAACAAGCGCCAAAGGCGGTTCTGCTGTAATTGAATTTCAAATACACGTTGCACCAACAGCATTTTACCGCTTTTCCTTGTAGAAAGATATACTCATGCGTTTGTATGTATGTAAGTAGACGGACCGAATGCGCCACATAAACAAGCAAGCAAATATAATATTTATTCAGCTGTTTGATGGTGCGCGTGTGTATGCTGGGAGCTTTGATTTTTGCCAACCTTTTCATTTGCTTCAGTGGCTTTCACTTAAGTGCGCTCAAATAACTTTCACTCCGCCCCACACACTCACACCGACACGCCTGGGTAAAGAAAAAGTGTTAGAACCTTTCCACTCGCCAACGCAAGCCGCTCGCTTGGTATCTTCTTCCACCTGTTTAAATATTGATAACAAAGTGGCCAATCGTTCAAGTGAAAATTTACGCTGAAACGCACAAGAAAGCTTACGTTGCTTCTTAAAAATACACACACACAGACGCACACACACATACGCACACATTTACACGTACGTACATACAGAGATGGAAAGTTTGGTGAAAGAAAAGTCGTGCAGCAAGTGGAAAATTGCCTGGCAACCAGCTAGAAAAGTATCAGCTTCAACTTGCTTAGCAGTTTGTTGGTCAGTGTCTGAGCTTCTAACTAACGGTATTGACCGTCCCTATTGGCTTTTGATTTTTTCTTTTTTAACTTCGTGTTTCTGCTGCTGCAAGGCTTCTGCCGCAAGTTGGTATGTATTAAACGCTCAAAACTTTGCAACGAATGACCGCTAAGTCGGCGCATAACTTCCAAGTTGTTGAGCCGCTGGAATTAAATGGTTATTAAATTTCTTTTTAATAAGAACAACAATATTTTGAAACAAAAATATTTATTTAGAAAAATTTTGTAATTTTTATTCGTTTATTTATGCACTTGTATTTGTTTTCTTTTTCCTCTCTTTTTTATTTTTATTTACATTTTTTTGATTTCATTTTCTTTACGCTGCTTATTTTCCAATTCCCCTGAAAAATCATTGTTTTTTGAAAATTAAATTTCATCTTTCGGCCAAGTTGATTTTTCATTTGCCACACTAACACACGCATGTCGCACATCTAGTCCTTTTAGTCCTTTGGAGTTTTCTGCATAACACTTCTACTCCCTTTTTAATTTTTAGTTTCTCTTTACTGTTTTCTTTTTTTTTTGTTTGTTTTTGTTTTAGTACCGCTTGCTAGCTAACACACAGCTGTTGTCTTGTCAAATTTAACATGTTACAGCAGCGCACAAACAAGCACAAATATTCACACATTTCATTTTTGAGACATTTACTCAAACCCAACTGAGCATGGAGCTGAACACTTCTAATGCATAAATACATACTTGCACATGTGGCACCGTAAAATATCCTGCATTTAGTGGCCAAACTGGTATGTAAAAGTACTAGTTGCAAATTAGTATTTTTAAATTAAATTATAACAATAAAAAGTAATTAGTTTTTGATAACTTTTTGCCATTTTGTAGGTTAAGCCATTATCCTCTTTCATAGAAACCCTTTTCCCTATAGGCTTCTCTTGAGGTCAGTTCTTCACCAGACAAGTTGTTCGCCATTGACACAGTCAGATCCGTCGAAAGCATAAGCACCTCCTAGCTAAGCTTTACGAGTCGCTATCGATGCGTGAGTTCTGGCTTTGTTCTGATGAATTCATATTCTCCTCCTTTTTGCCAAAGCTGGGCGCTTTTGGGCGATTGCTTCCGTTGCACGATCTGCCTGTTAACAATAAAGTCTAAATTCTGAAGCGTTTCGCTGTAAGGGAGCAGCTCATAGCGAAATACTCAACAAGACCATCCTGGCCATTCATATTAGTTTGGGGAACGTTTATGCCGGCACACTGCCTTTCAACCACGACCGTTTTCCCTTTTCATCCCAGCCACCATCCGTATATTTTGCAGACAGCCAGCAAGTGGTTCTTATCCGTCCTTTGACTAATCTTAAGCTACTGGGCAATCCAAATAGGCCGAGCACGATTATTTAATCATCATATGAGCTCTGTTGAAATGGGTCTTAAGTCGTCATTATTTATATAGTCATGCTGGTCGAGTAGTTCTCTGGTAATTCCTTTCCTTGATTTGAACTTCAACATGCAAGAGATAACTACTATTTTACTAGTAAGAAGCTGATGCAGAGGTAGTTAACTGGCATTTTCGAAGCTACACTCATTGTAAAACTGAGCAAACTGGTTAAGAACTAGTGGTTCTCTAGCAGAGTATCCATCTACACATAATAAGTAAAACAGTTAGAATTTGTGCATAAAATTAGAGACTTGTGAACTCTTTCCAAAATACCCTTTTGGTGCTTGGTGTATTCTAAATGCGTAGCTCGTTATCCGCAGGATTTACTGAAACATTTGTGATATGTGTTGGTTGTTTGACCATATGTTGCGGCATGCAGCTTGGATCTATAAAAAAAAATACAAGGATATTTTAAATATTGGACGCAAGTGTGAAGTAACCAAAAAAAAATTATTCATAGAAAATTTGTGCAGGAGTATTAGTTATGATATGGAGAGAGCATGGCAGACGTTTGCTGGTAAAGTGAGAGGAATATTCTCAACGCTACTCGTACGCGATTTAATAAAAAATCGCTCACGGTAAAATTAATGAGATATCAGTCTCTTTGAGCTGTATTTGTAGGAAATTAGTTAAAAGTAACTGAAGAAAAATTGTATATTTTTCTACCATAAATTTTTATAGTTGAATTTAACTTACAATGTAAATATTCAAATGTTCACCAGAGACGCCATCAAAAAACTAGAGCATAAAAAATATAAATTTAATGACAAAAATCGATTCCCGACTGCTAATTGGTATTGCTATAGAACCTTAAACTGATAACTTTGATTTTCTAAGAGAGTATCTATGCTCTTTCAACTAGAGACATACGAGTGAGTGTTTTCTATTCGCTGCATGTAAGGGTTGTTGACGAGTAATCGGTTGTGAAAAGCGAAATATGGAAAAAATCTAATATCATAGAAGCATTGATATGGTCACGCCAGAACTTATATAAACTTTTTTAAAATGATATAAACAAAGCATAAGACGGGATTCGTTATTTTGAATCAATCTCCCCACAGCCCAGACCTGTCCTCGAATGATTATTACCTATTTCCAATGAGAACAAAGAGCTGATGGGTAAGAAATTTGTCACCGATGACGAAGTCAATAAGGCGGTTTGGGCGTATTTTAAAGTTAAACAGGAACGAATTTTTATGCGGGTGAAAAACATTAATTGAATCTGAAAAATTTATCAATCTTACAGGTGAATAAAATGAAAAGGAAAAATAATTTTATTTTGTTTACGCCCTCTAGACCACTAGGTACAGGGGAAAACAACTAGTAGGCAAAAGTTCTACTTAAATACCAGTTTTTTGGAGATGATATTATACCAATTCGTTATTTCTAAAGAAATCCACCAGTAACGAGACAAATAACAATTTCCACCACTTGTTGTATGTATTTACATCGGCACGCCGCGACTGAATACCATTCTCTGATCCATTCTACTGAAGTGCGCAAACTGATGTTGACTGTTAAATCATCAATATAGCCGACTGGTTAGAGGCTATCGCTCCCGATTCGAGTCCCACTAGAGGCAAATTAATTATTTTAATTTTTTTTTAGGTTTTGGTGAACCAAAAAAGTTTTCACCACTCAATCATTCGTGAATTGTTATTGTCTTTAGCAAGCCTCGGCTGAGTTTTATTTCCAAAACAGTTCTGTTGAACTGCGCAGATTTCCTTGCTCTTCACATCACAACGAGAGCCTAGTGGTTAGAGAACTTCACTGTGGTGCGTGAGGGTCTCGGTTAGATTCTTACAAACAGCAAACTAATTTTTATTTTATTTATTTATTTTTGTTTTTAGTGAAAAAGTAGAAGTCACGTAGGACATCGTCGTAGTTAAAAATGCCAGTTGCATGCCAAATAGATGGATGATGAACTAGTTGGTTTAATAATGTAAACTAGTTGGATTCTAGTTGAAAACTTCATAAAACCTATGATGCGTAGTATTTTTTACTTTCTTTCTTCATGAATAATTTTAAGCCAATAGTTGACAACGATCAATAGCTTCATTAGATAAAAAATCCTTTGGTCAAATATCAAATATCCCTCTCTGGTAAACACTAAGCGTAGAACACGCGCATTCATTTCACTTATCAGAGATTAAAATACCTCCACTGCTGCTTTTATTTTCTAAAAGCAAACGCCAAAAACATCGCCAAAAATGTATTAAAAAAAAAACAGACGTCATCCCCACATCAGACCAAGCTCGAGTGACTAATTGTCAACCACTTAAAGTACTCACGTTTTTTTTTTTTTTTGACAGCGTCGCCCGTCGGCATCCAGAACTGCGTGTCTATCTACCCTCACACACCGTCTGCCAGCCGCCATGCTCTTAATGAGCCACAAAAGCGTCCAATTAAACTCATTTTGTCAGCGCGTCAGTGATGGAGTAGCCAAAAAAACAAAACAACAACAACAAAAAACAGTGCACACAGACAATATGGGATACACGCGTGAAGCAGGACGAAAAAATGATATCAAATTTCCACATACACAAACACAGGCACAACACGAGCAGGAAGCAAAATATAACAATGACAACAAAATGAATCATGCGTTTAAGGCAAAATACAACAATGGACAATTATACGCATAAAACGTACAAACATACATACATGCATACACACACATCTCATACATACATGGTGTATGCTTGTAGGACGTATTACAGCGCAAACGCCTATCCCTGCCACAATCTACTGGCAATTTGTCATTGAAAATAATATACTCGTACACATACAAATATCTATGTACGAGTGGAGAAGGATGTGCTCGCAGGATTATACTGTATCCAATAGAATTAAAGTGTAACTCCCGGCTGCAGGGTGCACACCGAAAAGAGCAGTTGAGAGGAATAAAAAAAATCATCTATTTATTTATTACAATTTATTTATTTTACTTTCTATTTTTTAAGGGGTTTAACGCACATTTGATTAATTGCCTTTGGCAGGAAGCAATTTTTATATATCTAAGATTTTTATTTTTTCCTCTCCAATACATCGAACACACGTTCGTTTGTCTCTTCTAATTTCAAATAAATTTCGTTGGTTGTAAAATTAAAATGAGTTGAATGTTCTGGGCGTGTTGTGTTGCTCTAAATACAGCAACATGTGGCAAACGACAGGCAAGAGGCGCCATATGCTAAGCTGAAAAATTAACACTCCATTATTTTCTTGAAATTTCAAAAAAAAAATAGGGTTTGCCTCAGACTCCAACCAAGCAAAAGAAATTGGTTAAAAATCAAAAAAGGAAAACATTAATTTGTATTTACTTAATTTCCATAACAATTAAAAAAAAATTTTGTTGGACATTTTTGTAGTGCATTTTGATCCTTGCCTAAGCTGTGGTGGCTCCAAGTCTGGTTTGCTCGAATTGGTTCAAAGACAAGTTTCAAATTATAGCTCGCCAAAAGCACAGCGATCGACTAAAAAGACCCTCAGTATTTTGGGATTTTCGTGGTGTAATCTCCATCAGCTATCTTGAGTGTGAAAATCCCATAAGCAATGAATAGAAGATAATATTATTGGAGGATTTCTAAGTGAATTATCAGAGAAATTAATGCTTATGTAAAAGAAAAAATCATAGCAATAGCAAAATTACACAATGAAATTTCAATATATTCCGTTTTACCCTGTTTTCACACCTCAAAAACCACCTCCCCGGTAGGAAAATTTGCTTGAATAAAGTAGTTATTGCTGAATCAAAAGATAAATCCTCTTGCAATAGTGGTTTCGGAATGTTAGAGTATGCTGGGATGATTGTGAAGCTCTTGATGAAGATCTCGATGACAATTAAAGCCAATTTTGAACAATAAAAAACTGAGTTTCTTTTTCGGCCAGGAACTTTTCAGCACATGTGTTTTCTGTTTCCCTGTCAGCAAGATGTTTTACTCGCAAAATGTTCCTTAACCTTAATATATTGTTAGAGCATTCAAACATCCTTCCGAACTTTGCGTAGTTTTCATTTAGACTTTAATGAAAAGAGGAATCAATTTTCTACCAAAAGACATAATTTGAGCCCATTGGGCAATGTTTTCGGCATATGTTAGCTCCAAATGTATGAATATAAAGAGGCAGCGCGAGTATTTAGTCTACGACGTGTGTCCTAGAAAGTATTAGCTGCTGCTCTGCAATTGCCTCAACTTTCATCAGTCATTGTATATTGTATATATATTGAGTTCAGGTGGTCAAGATTGGCTAGAGGCTATTTTAATGCAGGAAAAGGTGTACTGAGGTTACTACTGGGATGGCACATCAAATGGTTTCACATAGAATACTCACAGTACAAATACATATATGACCTTATATAATTATTTAGTAAGTTATCTGAATGCCTATTGGCATTTGATGGTCAAAGGTTTGAACCCTTACTACGCCAGAACCCAAAATTACGGGAAATTAGTTTTAAAAAACTTATTTTCTTATAGCGGTCACCCTCGGAAGGCGGTCGTTCGGAGACGCATCAGCGATTATAAGCTGAGATTGGTGTGTTCTGTGCTGAATAAAGAGTGAAATAAAAATGGATATGATCATCGGGATTTCCGAGATCTTCTCTTTCTATAAGAAACTTGATAAGAGTGCATAGCAACTAAAAGTGTCCCTTACTCCCTTTCCCTTCAACCAGTAAATTCACAAACTGCAGCATTTCATTGATGCTGTAGTAGCTGCTTACTGGAAGAAACAAGAAGCGAAAGGTTTCTACGATTTCAGAGACGGTTGGGTTTTAGTGAATAGACAGAAAGGTGATTAGTATCATGTTGGCGCTCATCGCATTTAGGCCAAGGTGTGATTTCAGTCTGCTACAGTTTCCAGTACCTAACTGTGTCAACATGACTCGCGTTTCACGAGGCAGCCGAAACTTTTCGTCTGCTTTGGGTTGTAGTTTTATTCGTTTAACGGCATTCATTAGAAGGGAGTTCATGAAGTTGTTGACGGACTGCTTGTGGATGGCACTTAGAATCTGGCTGCAGCTCAACCTGTCCAACATTTTACCATGATAATACCGAGTTCGTGAAATAAATAATTGTACTCTGTTATGCCTGGGGATGCTGCTCTTGTGCTTCTGTTAAAAATCTGCAAGGAAGATCTTTGTGGCAACAGACGTGTCTGGGGATGATACAACTTCGAACAGGATTCTGCAGGTAAGGTCTGGGTGGCCGCAGATACGGCTTGCCAATGGTTTAAAGCATGAGTATGTTTTCGATTAGGGTCCTCAAAGCGGTTTTTGACAGGCCAATGGCTTATTCACTTGTGTCTTGTTAATCTCCGATGTGGACATCAGCAGCTTACAGCTTAGTTTATAATCAGCCGAATGCCTTGTATGTAGGAACGTTTCTTTACCTGGGCTGCTGCTGGCTAGCGACATAACGTTTTAGTAACGACTCTGTTCTTTGAAGTGGAGAAGGGCAAGCTACCGAAAGTAACTCCCTAAATGTTAGGCTTTTAACTGTCGTAATCAAATTTGACTTTTGGATCTAGCCGGTAATCTTTCCTACATGAAAAACTCGCGCTGGATTTCGCTTGTGATAATTGTAAATGTCGTGCAGCAAGGTTGGAGAACAGTCGGAGAGGCGGCTGCTCAGACAGATGCTAATATCAAGCCTAGACTGCTTTCCACACCTCTACAGACCTCCCATACGGACGTTACTTTGCGCCGCAGTTCAACTATCTTCCATTCCCAGTGCAATTGCATTTTGCGGTATTTTTTCTGTAAAATAAAAATGAAAATTTAATTAACGATTTTTTGAAAATATTATCAAATATATTATTTATGGATTTTCAATTAGTTTGTAAATTATTTTTGAATTTTTATCTCAATTGAAATCCAGCAAGCTACGTGACCGCAATCAAATATTAACGAATCCAATAAACTGCCATTTGATATTAGAAAAAAATGCATCAATTAAAAATGAGTGGGAAAATAATAATACTAAATATTTACTACAGGAATTAGAATATTGAATTTCACTCACAAATGCGCGTGTCATAAAATTTAGACATTTTCAATAACATTTTATGGCCAACAAGAGAAGGCTCCCAAAAACGATTGCGATTAGTTAACTTTTTATTACAGGAATTTCTGTTTTTTTCTCTTTTTTCTCTTTTTTTCTCTTTTTTTGGCCCAAGTTGCCCTTTTAATGGCCTCTCAGCTCATTTAGCTTTTGTTTTGAGCAGCGAAAAAAAAAACAAGAAAGCAGCGGAGTGGCGAACGGCAGAGCTTAGGGGAGCGAGAGGCGGCAAATAAATAATTTCGATTACGGAAGTGCACAAAATTTTATGAGGCAAAATTTACGAGTGATGTAACTCATTATTGGAACTTTTTGTATGAGCCAATAAAATGACGGCTTAATGACAATCCAGCGGCAACCAAATACACATCTGTGCATGTACTGACGTTTAGCTCCAATGGCGATGCTATTGCCACTGCAATTGTTGATAATAAATCGTACGCCTGCCATGAGACAGCAGGTGAGGAGCAAAGTAGCGGCGGTCGTTGGAGCTCTTGCTCAGATGGATGGATGGTTGGATGGATAGGTAGCGGAAAAGGGCCCACCACGGCTCCGGGAATGTGTAACAGTTGTTTGTGCTATTATTCGATTAATCGATCTTTTTTTTTTTTGTTATAAATTTTCTCTTCGTACATTTTTTATGCCCACTGTGCGAGTGTCATCGTTAAAAAGTCGTTAAATCGTAAAATTAACGACAACAATAACAACAACAGAGCGGCAGCAGGAGCGTTAGTAGGAGCAAATGGTTCGCAACTAAAACGCAAAACGACCAGAGGCTCACACACATTTGCGCTTAATTTAATTTTTTTTTTAGCATTTACTTTGTTGCTCCTCAGGCTCCTTCAGCTGCCTGTGTGTTGTTGTTTGTTGTTGTGTGTTGTTTTATTTACATAACACTCGGCTACTATAAATTCATTACACTAATTGTTTACTTACCGAAAAACGAGAGCAACAAAATTGAAATTTAAATAAAATTTACAAAATAAAAAATAGCAACAACAACAACAAGAAGAATAAAATCGCATTAATTTTATAACACAATCAACAGCAGTGTGCCGATGGTTGGTGTGAGCAGGAAGTCGGCTCATACATACATACATACATACATACATATGAATGTACATATATTATGAAAAAAAATCAGTGAATAGCAAGAAATTATATATGTATGTATGTATGAAAAATCATTATTTTCTGGAATTTCTTGGACTTGGTCTTTTATTTACACATGCCTACATACATATACATACATATTTTTTTATAAACAAATATGTTTAAATATGCAAAGCTGTTTATGCCGCTGAGTGCGGCTTGTTTATATAAACATTTCCCAGCATTGTTGTTGTTCAATAAATTAGCGAATTTTATTAGCTGCTCTCCATCTCAACAAATGAAGAAACACTCTGTGGAACACAGCGGCGGCGTCGATAAACACCAGACTGCGCTGCGTCGGCAGTGGTCGGCCGCAGTTGGCGTTTGGATAAATAGCGAGACTGACCTCGGTGCGCTGAAGATAAACAATATTTAATTGGAGCGATCCGAACTGAAGCATTTTTGTGTTTCGACAAGCATAAGAGAGCACGAGTTTTCGGTAGAGTTGCAGGTGTAGAAGAGAGCGTTGGGTTCTCTCATGTCATTTAAACTCCTCTCGTTGTTTTGTGTGCTTGTGGAAAGGATCCTTCTTAGAGCTCTTATTTCGTATGACTACGACTCTGTGCTTGATTTCTCTGGAAACGAACTAAACCTTACCGAAAACTAAATGCAGAAATGGTGTCGTTTATAACATTTCCAGATAAAAAGGAGTCATCTAGAGGATCAAAGGAAATGTAGGATTCTAAAAGCGAGAACAAAACTTTTCGGTATCCACAGGATAAATTTGTATAGTGGCTTCCAGACGTGAATGAGGAAGAGGTTTTGTGGGAGGGAAGGAAACCATCTCCTAATGTAAATTAATTTCCCGAGCCCAGCTAGTATCTCTTAATCGGAAGTTATGGATATATACAAGGCCTGCAGAGCTTTAATAAATAACTACAAGAGGATAAACACAACAAATGTGTGTATACGGCGATAGCGAGGAGACATTAATGACCTTATCGTCGCCAACGAAAAGTTCGCTGGCAGGTTAATGCGTCAACTCCATAATCTGGTAACCTTTCCGGTAAGGAAAACACTGAGAACTTGGCTAACGTCTCAGTGTTTTCAGTGTTTTTCGGTAGTATTTCTTGGCGATACTGGGATATAAGTAGGTTTATTCTAAAAGAAATGAAAACATCAATTTGACAAAAGTAATATGGAAGTTTTGCCTGAAAATGGCACATGCTGCACTCTACCCACAAACATACCTCGTTATTCAAAAATTTTACTTTCACCGCCATCGATAGTCAGTGCGGTGCATTCAAAATAATGCCTCCTCGTCCTTCCTGAAAAAATATATATGCTCGCTGCTGTCATCGGTCAGCCGTTGTTGAGAATTTTTATTTGAGATTTCCCAAAAAAACTAAACAGAAATTTTTATGAATACTCTAAGATTAGCGCCAAGATGAGTGTCCCGTTCTAAATATAATTTTACACGGAGATTGCTCTTTGCTGACTCCGCAGCTGCGCTTTTCCCAATAGGGAAGAGTGGAGAGTGCACTGTTCCCGTTGACACGTGTCAAAATTTGTTAAGATTCCTGTCGTAGGATTTACAAAAAACTTACGCCATTTTTTCAGTAGCAATTAGATCGGTCGTTATAGCCTAATATCGTCTATCTACAATAGAAACCAGAATTGAAAAATAAATCCATTTAAGAAAAACTCTTCCTAAGAAGCGCTACTTTGGACCGATTAGGGCTTTGAAAGGTAATGCCACCATTCAATAAAAAAAATATCAAGTTCTACATTACTTCCGGTTTTAGTACATATACGAGAGGATTAACAAAAGTTCGGTAAGTTGACAAAAAAGGAATACAAACAAAATCTTTCTGTTTTATATTCGTTATCTTTGTCCTTTTTTAACTTCTCTACATGATCGCCATTGATTTCAATGTATTTCTAAAGCCTTTGGATCCACTTCTAAAAACAGTCTCCAAATCTTGCTTTTTAAGCTTATCAAGTTCAACATTAACCGAAATCGACTCCTCTTTGCTATTAAAGACCTTTCCTTTTAATTTTTTTTAATTATCGAAAATGACCAGAAACCCCAAGGTGCTAAGGATGTATATCTTCGATCCCTGAGATCGCAATAACATTTCTCATTAATTCAGTAGTGTGGGATGGCATATTGTCATGAGATAAAAAGTAGCGCAGCAAATCCTCTTTATTTCTTTTTTTCTTCCTGTTTTCCAACAAGTTTTTGAAAATATTTGGAAATCATTCAAGCCCAATTCAGTAGCAATCATTTCTTGTATCAATCGGCGGTCTTCGTCAGTTTTGGACTTCACTAGAGCTACAGTGACGTCATCAGTGGAAGATTTTGGTCCATTTCTCAGTGTTCGTTCTCTACGGAAAAATGTCCGGTTTGAAATCTTGGAAATCATTTAGAAATAGTTTTTGATGTTGTTGTTGTAGCGGTTCGCTATCCCGCTTAGGTATAGGTGTCAGTAATTTAAGTAACCGAGGTCATGTAATGGGAGCTCCAGAAACCAGCTGTTTCTACGGGATCGGACCAAAGTGAGCGGGGGCTTAGATTAGTCGGTTTAAGGAGGCATGTGAAAAGGTGGTTAGTGTTGTTACGCAGACTCACCACAAGCAAGGCATACGTTTTACCTAGAAATATTCTTTACAGGCGGTGCAATCATTCCGTATGCAATTTGGCATTCAAGAAATATTTGCCTTGACTGTAAATTACGTCGAAGCTCGAGTACTGAGGAAATCGGCAAAAAGACATAGTAGACGTAGGAACATACCAAAAGTGTCTATCAGTACTTTATCGTGGAAAGAAAAAGCCTCTGGTGGGTGTGTATTATATCTGAGCATGGATTACTTTGACGGGCTGAAAATAAAAATTATTGAATAAATAAATGATTTTAGAGCAGAATTTATGTTCAACTTATTCTTCGAATACACTTCAAATGCCTTCAATGTCCTTTTTGTCCACACTGATATTTTATCCTTGATTTTTTGAATTAATTAATAGATACTCAGTTCCAGATACTAAAATAATTTTACCAGAGCCAACAGTAGCGAAGTTACTAAGAATCCATCCCTTACAGAATTACATTAGAAATTTCATTGTTATGAGGAAGAGACTTTCTGGCTAATTAATACATACACTCATGTTAGCACATTGTAATCGCATTTGTTTTGAAATATTTAAAGTGAAAGAAATTTCAATGAACAGCCCAGAATTAGTCACGACTCGTGAAACATAGACTTTGTGGATTTTCCATTGAGATCCATTAAAAATTACTATCTACAATTGTTAAGGAATACCATAGGGAGTACAACAAATATAAAAACACATACATACACACATACATACACACATCGATTTTTGCATGCCCACACACGCAAATTAGATTTGTACGCATAATTACCGAAAATTTGCGGTAATTGCGGAAGTTGTGG